ACATCCCAGTCGCTGTTCCAATTACAAAATAATTTTAAGCGTCAATTAGTGCCTTGGCATTTTCACTTCCACCTTGGTTAGGCGTGGGGCCCACCCAAAATCTCTTTTGATCTATAGATCACGGCACCCGGTTGTATAGCGCTGGAAAATGCAGCTCCAGCTCATCTTCTAACTATCAGTTGTGGAGAGTAATTGACTAACGTACCTCTCGTACATCATGGCGACGACGTTGGCCCTCGAGTACATGATTGCCCCTACACTACACATGATTGCACAAGAATTCTGAAAATGTAAATAAAGAAATTGTCTAATAACATGAATAATCGATTCTTATTCACACTATTTTGTGTTATGTTGTTATGTTCTTCCGCATAGTAACTGATGGGGTGCGAGTGATCGCAGCACGATCCCATAAAGGTTTCATCTCTTGCACCTACAACGCTACTTCCTTCACAACCTGTTCGACTAGGACAAGGGACACAGCCTCGACTGACCGAGGAAACTCTACTCGCGACGGGTGACTGCGGAACACGCGCTTGGGCAGCGCATGCATCGCAAGCGCCCATACAACTGCTCGATCTCTGCAATCGGCGAGAATATGAGCTCGCTCTATAAACACGTTATTAAGAACATCTAATGCAATTTCACGCGCCCCCTTGGTCAACTTATCAATTAGCATGTGGCGATCTGGCATCACAGAAATTGATACATTCACTAACCAAATAACATATAGACTGGTCAAACCGTACATTTGGTGGTGACAAGCGTTTTTTTTGCGGCTGGTCCAAAGTCGCCTTCGTTTTTGTTCGGGTTCGAGACATGCCCGCATGCTCTCACAGCAAGAGAGTAAGAATACATATGACCTGTGTCGTGGAACGGCATCGCTGTTTTTTATCTCGCTCACTCTACAGGAAACTGCTTTGGCTTACTCTTAGTGCTCTTTCAATTTGTCTATGTACCGTTTAAATGTTTGTGTGTGTATGTGTCCGCACAAGCAAAAATGCCCACAAATTCAATTTTTCTCAAAAGTCGGTGGCATTTCTTCCCTTTTGAGGGGACGAGTAATATGAAATAATGAAAGGGTTTGCCAAGTCGATGCAAAATTCTTTCATTTTAGCTCGTTCTTGTTCGAAAGGGTACCTAAGCGTTGGCATGTGTGCATTTAAAAGTTTTTGGACCTGCTATTCACGCATACTTGCGTATTTTGTGTATGATAGAAGCATTTATGCGCATGTGTGCCTGTTGGTCCCTGCCTGCCTGTCCGATGCAAATTTGACAATATTTATGGATTTCTGAATTTCGAGCTCTACACATACACACAGTGACACAAATGTGTGTGAATGGGCTGCTCATGGGCGCGAAATTTCGAAATATAATTATTGGCACGCGTCTGACGCGCGCCCTTCTTTTTATGATATTGGGTTTTAATTGAATAGCTTGAATATAATAAGTCAATAAAATCATTAATACTATAAATATATAATTGAAGATTTTAATTTTTGCACAAATATCAAACAAAACATACTGCTTCAACAATCCACAAGTCCGCACAATTAGACTCTCCATTCGTTTCACAACTTTAAGTCTAGGAGGGGGAACTGTGGCGATCTGGCATCACAGAAATTGATACACTTTAAGTTTTTTGTCTTTGATAAGTTTGCTTGACCTAATTTTGAATTTCACAATATTACGAAAAGTATGTATAACTAATTCTAGCTCGAGCTCTCTAACCTTCTAATTATTCATATTTTTTTGGTGTATAATAAATAAAGCAACTATTGCAAAAAGCGAAATATTTTACTTGTGTTAATGGATGCAGACTATCCATATAACCACCCAACGGGCTGCTGCAGGTAATGAGGGGTCAACATTCATTCATTGAATAGCAAGTCCAAAAACTTTTAAATGCACACATGCCAACGCTTAGGTACCCTTTCCAACAATAACGAGCTAAAATGAAAGAATTTCGCATCGACTTGGCAAACCCTTTCATTATTTCATATTACTCGTCCCCTCAAAAGGGAAGAAATGCCACCGACTTTTGAATTTGTGGGCATTTTTGCTTGTGCGGCCACATGCACACACAAACATTTAAACGGTACCTAGACATAAAGAGAGCATTGAGAGCACTGAGAGTAAGTGCGAGCGAGATAAAAATAAACAGCGATGCCGTTCTATCGCACAAATCATATGGAAGAGAGTAACCCAAAGCAGTTTCTATCGCACAAATCATATGGAAGAGAGTAAGCCAAAGGAGTTTCCTGTAGTGTGAGCGATCAAAAGATGTCATATGTATATCTTACTCGCTCGTTGGACCAGATGCAAACTCATTTTTGGTGACCAACATGTTTTCACTGGTTGTCCTATCTATATGTTTTTTGGTTAGTGATATAACCAAAAGCATCTAAAATTAGGTTCTTACACAACTCTGATAAGCTAACGCTAAAAATTCGGCTGTTTCCGGCTAGTGACCTCTGAAAATATCTTAATTTAGCTGGAAAATAGTTGAATTGGCAACACTGCTGTCCGTCACCGACTCTGAGAGCAAATGGAGTGAAACAGGTTTAGTCGTTCAGTCTCCTAATCCATAAAAAATATATATTCTTGATGAACATTTCATAAAGCCGCAAACGGCGTGCGTGCTTTAGTATGTTTGGAAGGAAACTAGAATATTTGTAACGGCAAATTGGCGTTGGGTTCAGATTCTGATTGTCGGATATTTGAGCTAGATACACACAATTTTGATTTGTGGTCTACCGAATAGAATACTCGGATTAGGAAAATTCCTGCTTTTACGGATCATATACACCACAGATATTAAGGAATGCATATCCCACAGTGAGTGCTTATTTGTGCCTACGTATGGATTAAGGAAATTCCGAATGGTTGTAACGGCGGCGCAGGGTATATTTATTAATGACTTGAGGGAATTTCCCGTATTACATTGACAACTATTTCCAACAAGGAGTGGATTATCCGAAAACTGCGAAATACCCCTCAAATTGACCAATCAAATTTTAAGGAATTTCCGTATTCAGAAAATTTCTATATATACATATAACTTTGAAAACGAATTTGAAGCCGATCTTACCCATGAAGGGTAAATGGAATATTTAAAAACCCTGCCATAGCATCACATAACCCAACTACGCTAAAAATTTCTTCTTCCCACCTTTTACGAACTGGAAGCATTTCCTATTCCTTGAAGTTTGCACTATATTCTTTTAACCTTACATTTTTTAACGAAACTTTCCCTTTTATTAGGAATATCTCGTGATTATATAAGCTAGAAACACATTTTGTAAGTTATCGTATCGAATACAAATTTTTTTTTGTAGAAAAAAATAAATAAATATTTTAGGGATAGTGACTCAAAATCTGTGCCTGTACGAAATATGCTATGCTGCCATTTAATGGGAAGCAAACTAGGGCGTAGTCTTTAAAAGATAAAAGATAAAGGGAATCAGCAAGCATCCAGACAAATCGTCTTTAAATCCTAAAACTCAGACAAAACAAACATTTTACGATCACATTTGTATAGAATGGATTATAATTAGTATTATTGCGTTAAGAATAAACTCAAAATAAACTCAGAACACACTCTTAGTATCTAAACAGAAATTAAAATAAGTTTGGTGATTTTCAAATCTCAATGCAATTTGCCTTTGCAAACCGAGACCAACTACTGCCTTGCCAAATGGGCAGTTTCTGCACTTGCAGCCAGTTTCTAAAGTTACCCAATAGCGAGCTGCAAGAAATATAATAACTGTAATTAGATTGTGAATGACGGACGGATGACTTTGAACTATTTACCGTTGCATGATCAACGTAAAAGCTGTCTTGGGCCCAATGCAAGGCAATGCCTGCAGATCCTTAATGCTGCCATTGTTCACCAGCTCTAATAGCTTGGCGCGATGCTTGCGCAGGCGTGTATTCTGGGAGCCATGGCTGACCTGCCCTGAAATAATCTCGTTTAGTCCACCTAGTTTGTTGGCAGTGTTACTTCTATTATGCGATTTAACGAGCGTTTTAGATGGCTGTTCAGTAGCCGGATATGGTTTCAATTCCGTTTGTAAGGCAATTCGTATACTGCGACGTCGCTGCGGTTGCTCCTGACAGTTTTTGATTATTTCTATGTTCATTTGTCGGCTCATTAAACGTGTTGAGCGACGTCTAACAGCTGTTGGTTCCATATTGCTTTTGCTTATAAAAGAGGGTGAAGATGACAGTGGAGAAATGCCGCTGACATTTACTGGACTAGGGTCTCGGGGATTGGAACTGGCAGGACTACTGCTAAAGAATTGACAGCGCGGAACAGTGATTTCATCGATTTCTTCAGCTATGGAGCACAGCTCTGAGTTAAATTCGCAGTAACTAAGCAGAGACAATGACGAAGGCCGCTCAGCGGATATAACAGGGTCATTCAGATGAAGTTTCTCCTGTTGCTCGTTTAGGTAAAGTTGCTGCTGCTGCTGCAGCGCATCGTACTTCATTTTAAGCTTTATATAGTCCCTTATAGTTGGAAACGCCGTAGGTTTCTTCACCCCTTCCGGACTGCTGTTACTCTGTTCTACCAAAGGTAATAATTCCATTGGGCCTGGATTCAAATCAACTGGGAGCTCCAGCAAGGCACGTGCACTGTAAAAATAGAGTTTTTAACCAATTTGTACAACAAATGTCAACATTATTTACCTCTCCTTGGCCTTAGGTGTCAAGCCCATGTCAGAGTGATGGCGCTGTAAATTTTCCTTTGCCTCTGTATTTTTGACTGGCGTACAGAAGCTATTTCTTGTGGCTGCATGGGAGGGCAAAGTCAAAGGCCGCTTGATGACTTTTGAGCTTGGCAGTACACGCCGTAAGCTCTGTCTCGTAGCATTGATGGACTTCTTTTTGGCTGAACGCTGTAAACAATAAAAGTGACATTTGATATAAAAATCAGCTTCAGATCGAATTTGCGGTTGCGGTTAGTACTTATATATGCCTATAAAAGCAATCGCCGGTTAAGGTCTGCTCACAGTACACAATCATGGAGCAACAGGAGGATCTACCCAATGCCAGCGTTCGTAAGACGCTGGAAGAGTTACTTGGCCGCAGCGACTATACACTGGAGTTGGCGTGTGCCAAGGGCAATAACTACTTGGGCATAGTGTGGCGAATACAAGTGGCAAAAGAGCAAAGCCTAGTCTTGAAGCTTCCACCCCAGAACTTATTAAGACGCAAGCAGTTTTTTGCTCGGCCATGCTTTGAGCGCGAAGCTATGGCCTACGAAAAGTTCTTGCCGCTGGCCCGCAGTTTTCAGGCAGAGCGACAGGTACCGGAGCTAAAGCGCTTTTGCCACTTTGCACGATGTTTCGCCAGTCGCCAGGATGAGCCCAACGAGTGTATTGTGCTGGAGGACTTGTGCCGTAATGGCTACCAGATGCACGATCGCTTCGCGGACCTTACACCAGCTCACGTATCGCTGGTCATGTGCGCGTATGCAAAGCTGCACGCAGTCACATTGGCTGTTAAACACCAACAGCCTCAGAAGCTATTGCCATTTCAGAAACTGGTAGATATTTTTGAGGAGCGACGCACAGATCACGTCCTAGGTGTCTATTTTGAGCAGCTGAAGCAAAGCGCACTGAGCACACTATGCCCGCAAAAAGATGCTATTTATATTAAGCGCCTACAGACTTTTTTTGGTCGGGGTAGTTATTTCGAAATGTTATTGGAATTACTTAATGGTTCCAACTGTGAACCATTTGCAGTGGTTTGCCACGGCGACAGTTGGAACAACAATTTTCTCTACAGCTGCCAAGCGTGCACGAAACAGCCTTTAGAGGTCTGTCTTATTGACTGGCAGCTAATGCGATATGCCTCCCCGATAACTGATTTGGTCTACTTCTTATTCAGCTGTACCACGCGAAAGTTTCGCAGGCAGCATTACCAGCCAATGATTCAGTTATACTATGAGGAGTTGCGACAACAACTAACTAGGTGAGCTACCCTTTATTTCGATTGAACTTTACTTAAACTCAAATTTTTTACTTTGGTTTGGAAGACTGGGAGAAGTGGCAGAAGCTTTATTTCCACTGACTGCTTTTAAGCAACAACTAAAGGAAAAGGGCGCTGTGGGATTGCTGCTAGCCATGATGGTGCTACCAATAGTGACCATGCGTGGCGAGGATGCGCCGGATCTTCAAGTTATTAGCGAGATGGCAGAAGGCGGTGCCACCACCAGTTTGCACAGAGTTGGATTTTTAGGAATTGGCAATGAGATGTTGTACAAGCAACGAATGCGTGAAGTCATATTGGATTGTGCAGATTATAACTATATTTAGATGTTTCAGTTGCTTACCAATTGCTCCTGCAGCTGCTGCAACCGATGACTCAGTTGCGGGGACAGCTTCACTTGTTTGGCACTCTTAGCAAAGCGCAGCGTGGAGATAGTTTCAGACAGATCAGAAGCATGTGGACTTACGCAAGTCAGCAAAGTTAAATAAGCACCTGCACTGAGAGAGTCTGCAAATAAAAATATGATTCGCGCGCCTTAATTTAAAAAAATACTAAATACCAATGTTGTCGATAAATTTGCATTTCTATTAAAGCCCTTTTTATTTTTAAGGCTATCCAGATTAGACTTGAATTAGAATTAAAATAAATCAAACAACCTATTCAACCAAGAAAAATTATTTAATTTATATATCGTTGTGCAAATGTATGTATATTATTTATATACATTTCTGCCTCTCATACCTAGCAGATTACATAAAATAGTAAGGCTAATTTGATACTTAGGTTATTTTAATTAATACGCAGAAGAAGCTCACTTCACACTAGACCCCGAATTTATGAAAATTAAGTAAAAACAAAAGTGTACCGTGTATAACATTGTTATTGATGTAAAGATCTATATTGTTTTCTGTGTTTTCAATATCTTACCTTGCCCTTTTTATACCCTCGTAGAGGGTAATAATACTTTCGGAGTTTGTATTTCTATAAGTATGTATTTTCTTGAACAGCATCAACAGAAGCTTGGATTTGTTTCTATTAAAACTACGCAATATCAAGTTTTTTTTTTACAATTAAAATGCTTTTAATAAAGTTAATTTCGACCGATCTAAAGCGGGAAGTAGCTATAAATGCTCGGCTTCTTACCCTGACCAAGTATATGCTTTATGACGTCGGAGATGTCTGCTTCTATGCGCTACACATATCATGGCCAAATTATAATACCCCCTATAAGGTTTTTAGAACGGGCACTCCCCAGGGAGTTTGAAGAGCATTCTTAGTTGTTGAGGTTAGATATGCCCCTTTCTGCATTTCCAAAAGTGCGGTACACACTTTATTGGTCATAAACTATATTCATAATTTAATAATATTCTACCAGCCGTGTATATATATACGCAAAAACACATAAAATGGCACTTCTCTTAGACTCAAAATATGGGAAATGCCTTTGTAATTAGCTGCGGTTGTTATTGACCGATTTAGATGAAAGAACTAAAAGCAGATCACTCAACAAACATGCAAGTTACTCAACATTCAATTTTCACAGGCGGAAAAAGTAGCTCTGCCGCTTTAAAACAATGTCAATCGCAGTTACTTGAAGCGTACATTGAAAAGGTCATGGATATACAAGGTGATATTGCAATCTTAAATGTAGATCAGCTAACGAAATCGATTTGAAGAACAGATTGATTATGATAGTTTGCCAGCTTGGTCAGAGCTGCCGAAGAACAAACTAGGAGCTATATGAAAATATGAACCCAATAAAGAATATCAGGTCAACAGGTGCTCTAAGTATGATCAGAAGGCAGTTTCCAAGTGCAGTTGTTGTTCAGTCACTAATCAGTCTCTCAAATCCTCTTTGAAGAATAAAACTGTACAGATTTAGGATTTCCGATTGTCTCTAGCCATGCCCATCGCTCTTGTATTTATTCACAGCCAAGTCTCGTGTGCCAATCTTTCAAAGGCAATCGATGTGAAGATCATGATGACTTTCAAGTAATCATTTATTGGCTTAAAAGAGACCGATGTCGTAGCCAACAGAATAGTAGAAATATAAGAACTTTCTGCTTAGGTTCATTGGCATCATGAGCCATCAGAAGCGAATCCGGATGATCTGCCATACCCGCTTTTGGTTTATGGTCCTGAATCTTACTAGCCTCAAGTGAATGGCCACGACTTAATCACTTTGAAATATCGCTGGAAATACATTTGTCCGAAAACACAGTGGCGAAAAAAACAGTGGCAGTCATTCAGTCGATATGGGGAAATCCTGTGAAATCTTAGCGTATTATAGTATACATCAACCATTTTCTTCAAGCGAAAAGACGTAGTCTCAACAAAGGTGCTGCAACTCGCGTTTTTAAAATTGGAGTTTTTAAATTAAGCTTGGACTCGAAATGGTCTAATTAGCACCTAATCTTCAAAGATGCAACCATTCGTAAAAATTATAAATCTTTTATACAAGGTCATTCTGAAGCCAATCTGGACATTCAGATGTGGGGCACGGCCTGAAATTCCAACATTGAAATCCTGCAAAGATTTTAAAATAAAACTACGCAGGATGGTTAAGGCCCCCTATTACGTCAAAAACAGTGTAATACACAATGACCTCAAAATCCCATCCGTCACCGAAGAAGTGAAACGAATAAACCTGAAGCACGCAGACCGACTGGACAACCACTGCAACCACCTTGCAAAAAACCTTCTCGATAACAACCTACACCCCCGACGCCTTAAAAGACACCACCCACTCGACCTGCCTTTTAGGCCACCTAAAGAGTGGTGAGACCGTCTAAAATACCAGTGCCAATACACACAAAAACCACATGCAAATATCTACACCACATAATTTACTTATTATCGAAGAGATAGATCGTAAATAAAAATAGAAAAGAAAAAAAAAATTAGTTAAACATTTTTTGTGGTGATGAAAGATGTGTTTACAGCTGATTCACTGCGTGAAGCTCGTCCCTTCTTAGTTTGTGGCTGCCTGGATATGAACATTAAGAATAGAGGGACAACTCCTTTCAAAACATTAGTCACCATCTATGTCTGTTTTTCAATAGATGGTTGTTTATTTGTGTGACGGTCTGAAACATCATCAATTTCGTAGAAGCGGTGAACGACCTGAAGGATCTTCATTTGGTGTACGTCGAGAAGCATCCGGTCCAGGCATACGCAGCGGAGCGAGGTGTCGACTGGATATTCACCCCACCGACGTTGGCTCATTTCGAAGGGCTGTCGGATTCAGCCGTACAAGCCAGAAAGTATCGTCTGGTACGAATTAAGTACGCACCAGGTGCAAGTCGAAGCTCCACTCAACTCTCAACGCCAAGCCACCTAAATGAAGCCAACAGCAACCTGGGCGTACTTGAAGCAGTTTTGGCTGTTCCTTTCCAGGGATTATCTGGTCACTCTGCAGCAGAGCAACACTGTAAGAGTTGATGTTTAATATGCTGCGTCCGTATATATGATATCAGCTCATAAATTAGCTTAGAATGGTCTTATAATTTTGCTTTTGGTTCGCTCAGATTTCAGCGATAAAAGCATTGGTCAACCTCTCCGGTGTTTAATTTTATTAAGTGTAAAGTTAGTTGGAATACAGCTCTGGTAGTGGCCAAATGCAAATAATTTGTATAAAATTCGAATTTTTCGCTTTCCAATTAGGAAGGAGACAGTGCGGATCACTAAGCTGCGTCCAAAATTTATACAAATACAGAAAAAACCTACCTACCTACTTGCCAAATGTATTATATTTAAATTATCGTGTTTAAACCACCCAACACACAACAAGTAAGGGTGCTCTACTTGGGGCTGCCCGACTAGGAGATACCCTGAACCCCGCTGAGTTAGTTTTACAAACAATCTAGCTTTCGTTTTTACATACACTCACGTGTTAATTTTTCCCTTAGCATCACTATGTGGAAAGGCGTTCGCAATGAAATTCGATGTGTATATTTCAATCCTTATGAAGTTTTCAGGGCATAAATATCGCAATTCGCAAGTTTCTATCTAATAATTTATTTATTATTTTTTGGGGGAGGTTATGCAAAAAGTAAATTATTTGTAAATTTCCACTTTTTCCCGTTTTCAAAGAATTCAGGGCGTAAAAAAGAGTTAGTCGGAAACCAGAAGTCAAAAAGACACATGTACATACCTTGTAACACAGTTGTTAGGATAGAGTCTCGATAGGGTATCAATGTGTGCCCAGCAGACATGGAGAGCAGCACTTTATTTATACCCAAGAGTCCCATATTTATATAGACTCCCTCAGCACGTGCCATGCCCTCGTTACCAGTGCGACGCACACCCTCGGAACCAGCTAAATCGACGATGTTCAGGCGCGCATGGCTTTGGCCTTGTCGAATATGGATGGTGACAATGGCATGGGAGCGAGAACTATTTTTGTTCATGTTGGTGGGACGCACATGCCGATTCTTAGTACCCAACATCAGTATATGTAGCAGGTCCTGTTGGTTTCTCAATGGCTTACATGTGCCACCCGTGAACCGCTGACCACGCGATGCCAAAGGCTTTTCCGTGTCGAGCGCAAGAAGATCGTATGCTCTTTCATTATATACTTCTATGTAGGAAGCGTAAACAAGCTTCGGCAAAGGATTTTTCTCTTTTTGATCTACAAGGAATGTATGGTCCAGTATGTCTTGCAAGCACCGTGGTACTACACCCATATGTTCCTCTGTCAGTTTCTGCATTCAAAAAGAGCTCTTCAACGCTTAATGTCAAAGTTTACGCCGCTAATTCAAACTCACCTCTGCGCTCATCCCCATAGAATAGCTTTTCCCAGTGCCGGTCTGACCATAGGCCAATGCTGTGCAATCATAACCAGATAATACCTTTAGGACCAGCGGATGAATAAGCGTATCATATAGCTCAGACTGTGTCACAGTGGAGTCGAATACATAATCAAAGCTAAAAACATTACCATCGACAGAAAGGGCCTGTAAACAGAAGCATGTTCGCCATCACAGGATTAAATTTAATATGTTTGTGGTGTACAGTTACATTGTGATCGTATTTACTTTTGGACAATTCTCCGGATACTGGATTATACTTTTTTCATTGGGGCTTTTGTTGCTAATCAGTGTGGTCCGAAACGGCGCTTCACGCACCGCTATAAGCACAGAATGTATTTTCTGTGAATCCATCAATTAAATCAAATACAAATATTGCTTGGATTTTAGCGTCGCTTTTAAAATTTAAATAGTCTCATTAGGTAGATTCTTATCGATATATAAATTTGTAAACAATAGGCTATCGAATTGAATAGGCTTTTCGATAGTATCGTGTATATTTATTTAACTATCGGCCTAATTCGTTTATTGTTTTATTACAATGCAAAGCATCATCGATATTTGCTTGCCAGCCGGCATACAAAAAAATTTACTTTCTGTGACATAGTGCAGTGGTGGTGTTCCTGAAACCAATTATGGTTTCGGCGATAAGTTGTTCACAGCTGCTCCATACTAGATGTGCAGAATGCCCGGAAAAAGAAGGGAAATTAAAAGTTATAGAGACAACTACTCAGTCAAAAACGAACCTAAATATAATAATTTTAATATTTTATCTACATCGATTCTTAAAACATATAATTTAAGTTACAAATCTTTCCGTTGGTTAGTATTGATGTTAAGTACGTATTCAAGGCTAATGTTCTTGAGTGATAAAAATAACATCAGCAACATTATTGAACAGTATAAACAAAATTTAAAATTTTAATAATAAAGATAAGTATAACATGTTTAATGTACATGATCTAAATCATGAACAGATGATTTAAATGTGAGAATTATATTCATAGCAATATGTCTATCGATATTTTGTTCTAAAACCATTAAATATTTAACGGATTTTATCGGGTTTTTTCCTGAATTATACTTAATATTTGTGCAACTTAGTTTAATATTGAAACATTTTACTATTTTTCAGAAACTGGTTTTTAATAGCATTCAGTTTTAGCTTTGAATTTGTTGACTATTGCTTGACCGATAATATGATAAGTGCTGCCAATTACTTAAATTTGTTAGTCACGAAGGGCTGCATAAATACATTTGGGCTACCTATTCGTAGCCCTGTCAGATATCGATTGCACGTAGTTCTGCTCTTTTTATCAAAAAAGAAAAGAAAAGTATCCGCTAATCAATTTTGCTTTTGGTTCTGTGCAAATAAAGTATTGATATAAATAAAAACCGTAGTGCATATAAAATAAAAAAAGTGAATACCACATATATATATTTAAAAATGATTCTAAACGCCTAAAAATGAGAGTTTTGACCAGCTGTAGGTTAACATCGCTATCAATATCAACAACAGTGCAAGCAAGAGTGCTATAAAATGTAGAAAGTAAACAGAGGCACCCTAAGTAACATTCATAGAAATATATTTTCATTTATTCGTGTGCTCTTTTTTATTTGGTTTGGTATTGGTGAATGGGCGCTGCAACCGCCGCCATCTTCGCCGTTGCCCTGAGATATGGCCTCTCTACATTCCAGTTGGCGTTTCGGCAAAAAAAGAAGCAAACTACAATTACGCATTAAAGGTATATTATGTGTAACTATGATAAATGTTAATTAGAATATGCCTCAAGTAGCATCGCTACTACGTATGTAAACTTAGGTGCATAATACATACTAAATAGATCTGATATTATTATTACTAGCTGTTGCAAGGCTGTAACATGCTAAATAGCAGTAAGCGGAAAGAAAGTCAACAGCTACTGCGGGCTTACCCAATAAACACATATATATGTATGTAGTTTAAAAGGCAGGCAAAGTCGATTGCGCATAACCGAACCAATGTTGCAGCATCCACCTGGCAATATTCTTTAAAATAATCGTCACCTCCGGGTGGTGTAGCTGTCAGAAATGGGTTGATATATTTTTATATGTACATACATATGTGCTTGTCTATGTTTTGTTTGACCAAATTTTTACTTCATGTTTGTTGTCTATTAATAGACGTCACGTCGCTAACATAGAGCGCCCCAACGATGACGCAGCAAGCTAACAACAATATAAAACCAACAGCAACAATTCACATTTGTTGTTAATTTATTTTCTAAGTACAGTTGGGTTGCTTGGTTGCAACGAGACAAACAACTGCTAAGACACTTAATAATTTCACGTGCGCCGGCAGCCCAACTTGACAGCAACAGCGCTGTTTAGTTTCGCTCGTGGAGCAATTTCACTTTGATAGCCGTTTGTTGAGTGAAATTTACAATTGTTTGTACGACATACTTAAGTACATTTTAATGCATAAACATTAACATTGGCCTTATATGCGTTTGTGCAAACAGTCAAAAATCCATATCAGTACAGATATTTACTGATAACAGCCTTGATTTGAATGGACAGGTCTTAAGGTGCAGGCTTCGTTTGCCGGTAAATTCAATAACATCGATGTCTTTTAAATCGTTTAAGTGAGAAATTAGTTTACTTTCATCAATTTATTCGATGTAATACTTATAGTAGATTCGTTTTTCAGTAGTTTGACCGAGACCTTGCCTTCCAATCTATAGATATTGATATACGGTCATAAAATAATTAGAAATGATATGTGTCAACGGTTTATGATTATTGAAAATAAGAAATACTATTTGTGTCTTAAGATACATGTTTAAATTTTCAGTTTTGATACCATAGTCGGTATTTTACAAATGGTTCAGGTATCCTGTCTTTCACCCATCTGATTCCACAAATTCTTGTAACGTTCCTCCATAGATTTTAGTTGTTTGTTAAATCATTCTCCGCGTTCATATCTAAGCTCATCTAAGTTGGTCGACACAAAAGTCTAAGTAAAGACTAATTTTTTCTTAATTTTATTTTAATCATGATTAGGACGATTCCAATAATTTTCGAACTTTTGTTTCCCAAAAAATATCCAGAAAACTGTCGGAATTATTTCCAGACTGCTTTATCATCTGCTGTTAAAATAGATTAAAATTGCTCATATCCTAATAGCTTTCCAAACAATGCGCCATTGAAGGCGCTTTTCTATTTAACACAGTTGTATTCATATTATGTAATCTACGTTTACTAAAAGCGCATTTTAAACATTATGAAGTATGTACTTCTTGTTTTGACCAGTCCATCCTTGAGAACACGCAAAGCGAGCTCGACTTTCCCAGAGGCATAGAAAGCAGCAATACTTTCTATAACAACATTACAATCCCGATAACATGGCTATAACTTTCATATAGAAGCAGACCTATCACGGTTGCTTTTTATGTTTGAAACATTCAAACGGTTCAGCGTTCTTCAAAAAAATTCATGCATATTAACAGAATGGGCGATGGGCATGCAAGATTATATTTCGGAGTAATACAACCCTTACAACGCCACTATCCTGAACATTCCATGCCTTTATGAGTAAAATTGAGAGAATATCAGATGATCGCGTATGGGTGGCCTGCTTAACCCATGACCTTTTTAAGTGAATTTTTTTAAGTCGTTTTGAGGTGCCCGCAGAATTAAGAAAAATGGATACTGACCTCTGATTATTAATGATGATTTTGAATTCGTAACTGTAAGTTTTTTTTGTCTGTGTTGAAATCCGTAACGCATTAACTATCAAATTATTCAAAATTATAATGGTCTTGTGCAAATGTGTGTAACAGGCTAAAGGAAGCATCTCTGGTCTCATAAAGTATATATGTATATTCTTGCTCAGTATTAGCTGCAAAGTCGATTTGGTTTTGTCCGTCTGTCTAATGAATTGAAATTTTGAACGTATTTCCCGCGCAGTGCGATGTCAATAAAGATATTTCATTAATTAACGGTATATATATAAAAGTTTGTCCCGATTGACTGAATGGACATCCCGAGCCGTAAGAAAGTGGGTGTCAAAGTTTTTATGAAAAGCATCAAAAACAACGCAGCCACACACTTGCTGCGTTGCAAACGTGACGTTATTAGTTTGTGTGGCTTAGGTTTCTGGGCGTCGGACTAATGAGTAGGAAGTCGCCGGTTCGATTGCAGCACCAATTGTTGATTTTTATACCCTGAACCCAGGTAAACAGGGTATAATGTATTTGTGCAAATGTATGTAACAGGCAGAAGGAAGCATCTCCGACCCCATAAAGTATATATATTCTTGATCAGCCTCAATAGCCGAGTCGATATAGCCATGTCCGTCTGTCTGTCTGTTTGTCCGTATGTATGAACGCAAGGATCTCAGAACCTATAAGAGCTAAAGACGTGATATTTTAGCTGTAGGTCCTCCTAGTCCCCGCGCAGATCGAGTTTGTTTCCGATATTCGATAACTTGCCCCGTTTCCAAGTAATCGATAAAAATCGATATCGAAATCCTGTTTTTTTAAGAATTTCGGCAAATAATAAGAGCTAGAGTCACCAAACTTGTCTTGTATGTAGCTTCTAGAATAGTATATGTATGTATATATATCAAGTATCTTTCATTTTATAGCTATCGCCACCTCCCCGCTACCACCACAAAGCTATAAATCATGTTAGTAAGCCAACTTGTATTACCTATCTAATTAAGCCACAATATAAATGCAATTGTCATTTTGAGAAAACACGAATATTTATTAGTACAATGAGATATACTACTGAAAATTTCATTAAGATCGGTTAAGAAACACGAAAGAAAATGTGTTTTGGTCTACAAACACGTGCAGCAGCAAGCGCAAATTCCAAGAATTTCTGTATATTGTATTGTTTTCTGTGCTGCTATTATAATTTGTTTATTTTTTCTCATTAAGACTCAATAATTGGTGTGCAGGCGGCAGGTAGTGCGTTCTGCTGCGAGTTCGAAACCTAACGAAGAAATTTTTTTTTTTTGACTGGTGTGGCTGTTGAGTAGAGGCGGCAGCAATTAATGCGGTCAGTTGCGAGTTTTTTTTTAAATTTATCTTTATTACTACTAAAGCAAACGATCGCGGAGCGCGAGCTGCATTTGGTGTATATAAGAATAAGAGGGTTCAGGGTATCCCCTGTGTTGAATGCGTATAGTTCCGTATAGCGCCTCTCAGAGATGGTGTCAGCCAGAACGCTGGCGACGGTATTGGGATGCTCCAGCAGCTTGTCGGCTGCTGCAAACACAGTTAATTTGATCTCCAACCGTTGTGAGGCGAAGATCACGTTCATAGCGTCAGTTGCGAGTCATCTACGCTTGCCTGTTGCCTTGAATTAGCCTTAGCCGATTAAGTTGGTGTGGTGATGCCGTGTCCCAAAGTTGGACGGCGTAGATTCAAATGGGCGTGAGCATCCTCTTAACGAGTAGCGCCTTAGTACAGATAAGCAGCAAGTTTTTGAGCATATACAAGCATTTAGCTCTGCTGGCTGTGATCTTGCGATCCACCTAAACGACCAACTAATAGATAACTCTAGTATGTGCAATCATCCCTCAATTGAAGTGCAGTTCCACGCAGCATTCGGGGTGCAGCGTGAACGTGACACACGCAGACTTGGCACAATTGATTGGGATATTCCAGTCCGTTGTCCAGCTTCTGACCTGCAGCAGAAGTCGCTCAGGGTCAGTGGTGTTGTTCCATCCAAGGAATGGGATGTCAGCCGTGAATAGCGTGTACAGCACCGGACCGAGCACACTGTCTTGCGGATCGCAAGCTTTCATGCTCTTTACTGTAAAGTTTTCATCCATGACGGCGACGCTAAAGGTACATGCTGCCAAGAAGAATGTTGAAGAATGGCGCTGGGAGATGAGACTTAAGTTTGAAGAGAAGGCAAATTTTTTTAGCTCAGAAATCTGGTAAAACTTGAAAACCAATTGTATTATCGGGGACCATGCAGTTGACTTCTTTGAGTTCATTAAGTCTGCTCAATAGTAAGCGCTCAAAGCTTTTTTAGAGCGTTCGCCCCTAGCACATATCACCTTTTGTCAGATCCTTCCTGCTCTGCCTCTCCCCACAATATTTTTTAATTACGTATGTTGATTTAATGCGTTTTTAGTTTCCCAAGATCCGGAGGATTTTTATAGATTGGATCCAAAGAAATCGGCGGCTGAAAATGCCTATGACATCTATGCCATGCTTTGTGTGGAGGAGACGCGGGATACGAAGCGTTTGTTTCTGCTCAATGCTCTGGCCTCGCTCTGCCTAGCGGCCACCACGGGCTCGCCGCACAACAATCTACGCTTCAGCACAGAGGAACTCCTTTACTGGTAAATTACGCATGCAGCAAGGAATCGTAAGAGTTATTTCATACTACTAATATTTTTATCTGCAGTCTAAGTGCCTCACTGGTACACACATTTACGCAGGTACGTGCGGCTGCGCTCCGCACTATCCGCTATACGCTGAGCACGCCAAAGGATATCAGAGCGTTCAATGCGCTGCAGCTTCAGCACCTTTTATGTCGGTCCATTGATTTGATGCTAAAGAACGACGATGAACGCGTGCAGGCGCTTAAGTTGGTACGTAAAATGCTGGCCATAGCGCCTGAAGACATAAGTCCAGTAGTCGTCAGATGTCTAGTGTCGCTGGCCGATAGCGGCATTGAGGAGAGCGACAATCTTCTTCGTGCCTGCCTTGCGACGCTTGCTGAGTTTGCAGTGCTCAATCCGGCGCTGCTAATTGTGTGCGGTGGCGTTTCATCCATTACGCGAAATGTGCTTGAGTGCCACAATCCACGCATCGCCGAAAGTCTCTGTGGTGTGCTGCTCTATCTTCTCGAGTGGCCGCAGACGCGAAATATTTGTGGGGTTCGACTTGACTGCCTAGCGGCCCCTTATTGTGATTTCACCTATGGACTAGGCATTATGGATAAAAACAAGTAATTTGCGAAGTTATTGCCTTTTGTTATCTTCTCTTATTTATTGATTCACCCACTGCAGGGACGCACGGGAGCTGCGTTATACCAGTTGCCGCCTAGCTTTACTTTCCGTTCTACGCAGTTGGACAGGCACGCTCGAGTTCTGTGATCCAAGCAAACCTTCGGGATTAAAAGCAATAGTTGACGCTTTATATTTAAATCAAATTGAAGTCAGAGTAAGTAGAGAAATTGCATGTACACCCATCTTGGCAGTCTAAGTGTATTGAATCTTTTGCTTATTTGGTCTTCGACAAAACTTTGTGACCAGGGAAATAATGTCCTGACTGGTTGTTATGTCAACTTTCAATGCTATCATAGAAATTTTTAAATGTTTGAGGTTCAAGCCTACGAGAAGACAGAATAATTATTTATTAACGATACAGATTCGAAGAAAAGGAACTACATTTTTTTCTGTCGTACAGTTAAGTTAATTTCGACTATAAAATGTTCTTTAAAATTAATATAAAACCATCAAATAAAAATATTATTAACGTTGCTCATAAACTTCACTTCACTAACTATACAATATTTCAATTGTTTGCTAAATTGTAACTTTTTCGAATTTTGTTTATAACTGAGGGTCTAGACAGACCGACATGACTATATAAACTCACCCTATCGTGTATATATTGTAACTTTAGAGAAGCCCCCATTTTCCTGTTCGCAAAACAGTACAATAACAATTTTAGTTTGTAAACAAAATATAAAATTTCGTTTTTTATGTGTATTTATATAATAACTAACTAATTGTCATTCCCGCTCTACTCTTTTTTGTGCGTCTTTCTGCCTCCATTTTGATACCGGCAGAAAGCAATATTGGACTTGCTTTACGAGCTTTTATCGGTGCCACAACCTGGCTGGACGGATGATTATGATGTGGCGTTGCAAACGGTTGATCCGTCAGATTTCCAAGACTCTTGGCTGCTAAGCAATGGGTTTGTCTCCGCTGAGGGACGTTCTATATTACCAAGTTTGGCAGCACGTGCTCCCAATGTGGTGGAACAGCACTTAGCGCTGCTTCTTTACTGCTTTCTTGAAACAGGACTGCTCAATGCTCTGGTCGAGGTAGCCGTTGCCAGTGATCAGTTTGTGTCGGTGCGCGCCACAGTTTTAATTGGTAAAATAGTGCAACTAATGCATACACATTTGCCAGCGGATATTTTTAGCACTAGTCCAGCGTTACCCACGCTCGTTGGACATGCCACGCAAGGCAATCAACAAGCCAATGCAGCCGTGGCAGCTCTGCAAAACTATCAGAAGATGTTGCGCCAGAGGCCGGCATCGTGTAGTTTATTT